GAAAGACCTAACATTAAAGATCAAAATAAGCGCTACATGTGAGAATGCGAGATTTGTTGCTGCTGAGGTAGACGCTCTCGCTCTTTCTCTGCTGTCTCTTTGCTATGTCTGTAGAAATGGTCGTTAATTCTTAATTTGGGTACGGCACAGACATGTTACAGGTAATAATACAATCAGTGGCGTAGCAAGTCAGCCCCGGGCCCATATGCAAAAAAAATAGCATTTTTTTTGCAACGTTATGGGCTTCAGCTCGGTTAACTTAACTTGATTTTTCTGAAGTAAATAACATTACGTGAATCATGACTATCCACAAGCTGTTTTATGGTATAGGCTAAATGCTTGGAAATGAAATTTAAAGTTTTCAAGTCCATTATTTGTAGCAGGCAAGCCACCCAATAATCGCAGCTTTGTGCTTTGTTACTACAAAGTCTCAGCCTTCTGTCAATTTTATGATAAAATACAAACAATAAATGTGTTTTTACGCTCTTTAATTTGTAGTGAGATAATTCGCCTCAGTTCAAGCGGCATATGAATCAATGATATTTTCCTCTTTAATATTTGCAGCACTAAATAAACATGAATATTTGAATGCATGAAAAAATAAGAACAATTTAATGCAAACGAATGTCTCATGAAATCGACCAATCAGAGTTTTAAAAAACGTCAATAAGTCTGCATTTTATTGCTGTTTTTATGTTAAATGTGAAGAATGACGGATGCCACAGACTTTTTTTTTTGGCGGAGTAGCCTATAGGTGGAATTTTCACATTAACTTCATAACATGATTTTATTATGCAATTTTGACTTTATTCTTAAAATATTATGATGTTAATCTTATTTATTTATTTACTTTTCAACGTGGCACTAAAATGCTGCCATAGGCTATTTGTAGCTACTGAATGCAAACACAAATTTGGCACAGCGGCCCAAAAAACAAACAAACAAAACAAAAAAATGTATAAAAAAAAGTAAATAGTGAGGGGATATTTTAATTGTTTGTTAATAAACTAGTGTTTTCTGAGTCAGTGTGGCAAAGATGAATTTGACAAACTTGACTGGCCATCTCCTCATTGGACGTGCCTTTAGAGAGAAATGCATCTTTATGGATTACATAATGAAAGAGCTTTTGTTTTCGATTTGAATTATTTCGTTTTAAAATAGGAATGTAAAGCATTGTATAGATATATTTATCATGTCGGTAAGGCAAGTATTCGCTGAGTTTCAGTTCATCATTGTGAGGCGCTCCTGCTCAAGACAGAGACGACAGAAAGCACATCAGAAAGCATTTGTTTTCCTTATTTTACAAAAGCACAAGGTTTTGTTGATATTGTGAGTGCACACAAATAAAAGTAGACTTTGCAGTTCCGAATGAGGTATACTCTTACCTTTATGAGCAAAAATGACGGCATATTTTTAAGATTCCACTGTTATAAAAAAATTAAAATAAAAAGCAAGTGATCGCGCTGTCGCCTCCATGTCATGCAGAGCGCGCTTCAGATTTTACTCTCTGCACAAACGATTGGATATGCGCCTAACAGCGCACATTTATCTAGGTTAAATGTTTAAATTAATACTGTGAAATGCATGAAGTGTTTTATGTCTGTTTATTTTAGGCAAGTCGTGTTGGTTTGAGAAGGCTAAACTGATGAAACATAATGCTGCCGCTTGGTTGTTCCTTTAAAAAACAAAAACTTGAATTTAACAAACATAAAATGTTCCAAACATATTTCTAAATTAACTTAATAAAGGAACGAAACGAAATATTACCACTTTGCCATTAAAAACCGAAACAGAACTATTTTAATGGCTGCAACAGCAGCTGTGTAATGGGGAAGACAGAGAGAGAGAAAAAAGACACCGGCTCCAGTCGGAAATTGCAGGGAAATTCATTTCCTCGTTTCAATTAAAAGTTCCCCTCAGCTCGGCGGGCCCCCAATCTGCCCGGGCCCATATGTACCTGCATACCTAGACACTACGCCACTCTCTCAGCACAAACGATTGGATATGCGCCTAACAGCGCACATTTATCTAGGTTAAATGTTTAAATTAATACTGTGAAACGCACAAAGTGCTTTATGTCTATAGATTTTATTTTAGGCAAGTCTTGATTTGAGAAGGCTAAATTGATCAAACATATGTTCAACTCACTGTCAGCCGCTGGCCGCTTGGTCATTCCTTTAAAAAATAAAAACCTGAATTTAACAAACATAAAATGTTCCAAACATATTTCTAAATTAATTTAATAAAGGAACGAAACGAAATATTACCACTTTGCCATTAAAAACCGAAACTGAACTATTTTAATGGCTGCAACAGCAGCTGTGTAATGGGGAAGAGAGAGAGAGAGAGAGAAAAAAGACACAGGCTCCAGTCGGACTTGGGCTGAGAATTCTGATAAGCTGTCGGACAAGGGCAATTCAGGGAAACTGCAGGGAAATTCATTTCCTCGTTTCAATTAAAAGTTCTCCTCAGCTCGGCGGGCCCCCAATCTGCCCGGGCCCATATGTACCGGCATACCCAGACACTATGCCACTGAATATAATCAAAAAACCATGGCAACAAATGCTTTTTTTTAAGTCAGTTTAAAAAGTTTAATAAGTTGAAACAACTTTCACAGTCAATTTGATTCAACTCGACTCATGTTTAACCGTTGCTTCTTGTCATTGTAGGCGTAGGCTACTTTTTTCAATACATTTTAATGAATATAAAAATTAATAAAATGAATTTTATTAATTTTTTTTATTACATATTGTTCATTCATTTATTTTTAACACCGCATCCCCAGCACCCCCATTTTTTCGTGGGCGACACTCCAGGGGGTGCTGCAGCACCCTCAGC